ATTGTCCGTACGTTCCCGAACGCTCACTGTCCGCGTGCCCGGTCGAAGCCTAAAGTTTCAAAAATTAAGAATAGACCCGAACCGCTCTATTGTCCGTATGCTGTCTAGACTTGCCATCCGCGCATCCGGTCGGGGCCTCATATCTCAAAACGGTTCAAAAAACCTGACAGGATAAAAACACAAAATATACATAATAAATATAATATATCGGGTACGAAACAAACCCAAGCACTAGATACTCAGTCTCTTGCTCAGCCCCGTGGCAGTTCCCACGAACTTCCTAGGAAACTCCTACCCACGCCCGACAGACAGTTCTCTGGACCCTTGCGGTTGAAGTCAGAAAAAACCTCCCACGGGTACCCGTATCTCTGACACGTTGTCAGACGGCCACAAGCAGTGCGCCGCCTGAAATCTGCGGGTTTGGGGCCTAGGCTCAAAGGCAAGTCCATGTTTTGACGGTACTCTGGTTCGACCGGGCAGCCAAAATTAGAGGAACTTTGGGCACCCCTGATTTTGGGCGCGCTGAACCTTACGAGTAACCCTCAAAGATGGGGAAATGGGTAGCCGCTCCCGACACAACTAGAGGCCGTCATTTCAGCCCGTTCCGAGGCTAGGCCTGGAATAGCCTGTCACAAGGGGGCATCGTGGGGACTAACCCCGCTGCGACGTTCTTCGCAGCGTATGATCGGGGCCAAAATAGCGCCTCGAATTTTTATCATTTTTGGTATGTAAATTAAAGATGGGAGAAGAGATTGAGAACAGTAGGAGGGAAAAGAAAAACGTAATATTCCTTAATTTCTTTGTTTTTCATGACATTTGAGTTTTGGGGAAAATACCCCGTTATTTTATGTTTTCCGGCAATGGAATCGAAAACAAAGGAAAATATTAAAAATGATAAAGGAGAAAAGGAACAAAGAATTTCAACAATTTAATTAAAACCCTCTCGGAATTTATTTTTGGTAAGTTTACGGTTATTTTATTGTTTCGGGTAATAGAGTTAAGAAAAGAAGGGGATGATTAAAAATGATGGAATGAACAAGAACTGATGATTATTCGATGTTTGGCCTGATTTTGCTTGGATTTCCCACCGTCGGCTCTGAACCCAGATTAATCAGTCTTCTCTGGATCCCAACCTTTTTCGCCAATCCCTGATGATCAAGGCTTTTCGTGTCACTTTTCCAATCCACATATTTACTAACTTCACTGTGACAGTCCGAGAACGACCGCATGGACAGCGAGGGAGGCTGCTACTTTGGACCGACAGTATGGCCTCGGTATTTGGCTCGCTACGGACGCATGGTTCAGAGAGGTTCGGTTTTGATGCGGAGCGGCTGCATCCTACGGTATCCGACGTTTTTTTTTGTGGCTCGGTATGGGGTCGGCGTCAGTTTGTTTCAGGGTTCAGGCCATTACGGTGACTTATTTTCAGGTCTGCGGCCACTGTAGCGATTTATTTCTGGGTCCGGGACCGCTTCGACAATTGTTTCGGGTTCGACATCAGTCTATTTCGGGCTCGGTGCTACCGTGATACCTTGTTTCAGCTTCGGCGCCATTACCGTGACTTATTTTCAAGTTTGGGACACTGCGGCGATTTATTACCTGGTCCGCGGCCACTACAGCAGTTTCTGTCTGGATCGGAACTGTCACGCCGATTTATTTTCAGGGTAGACATCGTCACGGTGGAATGTGTCAGGTTCGGCGGCCTCGGGGCAGTTTAATTTGGTGATCTACTTTACGTTCGGTACCAAGATCGGTATCGTCACGACGATTTATTTCGGGATTCGATATCATTGTATTTCCGGTGCGGTATCCTCACGTCGGTTTTTTTTCAGGTTCGGGAGAGAATCGGCGGCGTCACAGTGATTTAATTTCGACGCCATCTCGGGTGTCTATGTCCAGTCCGGTACCGTCATGACGGTTTGTTTTAGCCTCGGGACCACCACGACGGTCTATTTCAGGTTCGGGGTCATCACCGTGATTTGTTTTTCGGATCCGGTACCACTGCGGCAGCTCGGTTCAGCTTCGGAACTCAGTTCAACTTCGGAACCGTTGTGGCAAACTTATTTCTTGTTCGACATAGATGGCATTTCCGGGCAGTTGCTTCACGCTTGTTTTTCGTTCGACCTTGGCATGGTACACTCAACTACAGCCCTGGGCGAGTAGGTCAGGACCGCTGTTGACTCAACGCAGGTGTGGGACCATACGGCACCCCGATGCTGGTGCGGCAGCCTACGACGCTGATATGGGGCCACAATACCGTAGCTCCAAAAAACAATTGGGGCTGATACGGTGATGCTGATCTAGTACCACTGGCTGTCGAGCTCATTCGGGTTCCGAGTGGGAGCCTTGGCACTGTGGGCGTCAGATTTCACGGTACCGGTACCCTTGGTGTTTTTGAGGTACTGTCGGGCTCGTATGATTTTGGCCATACGCCTGTAACTTCGAGGAGGCCCATGCCTACAGGGGAGTCACATATAGGAGGAACTTGGACGACAGTGCAAGGGGGATGTGCACGGTGTGCCCAGCGCGGTATGCAGACTGGGACAATTGACGGACAGAGGATTTGGGAAGCATGCAAGGTGTACGCAGTGCACCGCAGAGTCACGCAGGCGGTCAGGGAGTGCGAGACGAGCTCGAGGCGGAGACATCGGCGCCCAGGCGGTTACGCAGGGAGAGAAGGGAGAGCCGGGCGTGAATAACGTGTACCCGCGAGCGCGTGCACAACCCTGCGCATGCAACGGGAGGAGGCAGTTGGCAAGCGAACAAATGCAGAGTGTGCCAGGCGTAGGCAGCGTGGGTATGAGAGTGTGTGGAAAACCCTGTAGAAACGGGGGAAAGCACGAGAGAGGAGACTAAGTGCAGGCCAGGCATTCGCTGTCTACTCGCCACAGAGCAAGAGGAGGGAACATCGCGAAGGGGATGAGGGGGATGCGCGCTCGATTTACGCAGCTCTCTACCGGTTAGGCACAGCGATGCACAGTGAATGAGACTAGCCAAGGACTCGCTGGGAGTGGGCGCGCACACTGTGCTCTCCCCTGTCGGAGCGTTGCATCCATGTCTTTCCGTGAGGCGGAAAGAAGAGTGGGCTGTGCACGGTTCATCACCACGTCAGAGCGAATACGAGCAAGACCATGCACGGGAGAAGGGAAGCAAGAGGAACAAGCCTCGAAGTGCGGAGGTGAAGGAACGGAACGAGACTCTATACCGGGTAACGAGTGTGAACAGGGAACCGTGGCGTTATCAGGGGAATCGGCGGTGAACATACTGAACAGTCAATTTGGAGTGAGTACGCAACAGTCGAGGTGGTCAGAGAGGGATATGGACTAAGTGACGCGGGTCAAAGCTAGGGCTCTATGCAAGACAAAACGCAGTGTCGTAAATCCCCAGGGAAGAAGTGTGACGAGTAACGCTGAAGGTAAGGTTTGATTTTAAACGCGCGACTAAGGGTGAAGGATTCACTCCGGGCGAACGAGGCGTGGCTTGCCTCGCGTTCCAGACGGGAGATTGCGCGTTGACGATGAGGGGTGGGATCCCTAAACTTCTGGGGGGAAGCCTGCATGCGGTCGTCTGGGAGTATGGAAGGCTAGATTACTGTGGGGTTCGTTGAGCTTGCGCTGAGTGTCCCACGTCAGAGACAGAACAGTAGCCCGAAAAACGGAGGACTCGATTAATGCACCTGTTCAGTGTTTGCTGTTGGGTTCGTTGAGCTTGCGCTGAGTGTCCCATATCAGAGACAGAACAGTAGCCCGAAAAACGGAAGACTCGATTAATGCACCTGTTCAGTGTTTGCTGTTGGGTTCGTTGAGCTTACGCTGAGTGTCCCACATCAGAGACAGAACAGTAGCCCGAAAAACGGAAGACTTGTTTAATGCACCTGTTCAGTGTTTGTTGTTGAGTTCTTTGAGCTTGCGCTGAGTGTCTTACGTTAAAAACTAATCAGCAGTTTGAAAAAGGGAAGGCTTGATTATTGTGTCTGTTCAGTGCCGTCAGCTCGGACCCCTGGGCATGAACTGCTTTCGTTTCCGTAGTGAGGATTGAACACCGCTTCAAAAGAGGGACGTGAATAATGTATCAGATCAGTGTTTTTCGTCAGATTCATTGAGCCTGTGCTAAGTCCTTGGGGCAAGGGCTGAAGGGGGGGATCTGACCTGAGGGGGAGCCGGAAGAAGAGAGAGAGAGAGAGAGAGAGAGAGAGAGAGAGAGAGAGAGAGAGAGAGAGAGAGAGAGAGAGAGAGAGAGAGAGAGAGAGAGAGAGA